TATACACACACACGTAAAGATCTTTTTTTTCATATTAAAAAGTGGTAGATGTATTGACAGATTTTATAATCCCACCTGGTAATATAGCAATGTGCTTCAACACACTGGACACACACAAAACATAGTATATATTTTAGTATCATATCATATGATCATTAGATTTTTTTTTCTATTCCACTATTCTAATCCTCTTTTCTGATTAGACCAGTTTACCCCCACCATCTCTCTCTGTCTGTTGAGCAGTAATCTTAGCAGACAGTACTAGTAATGGTGCTGAGCGCAGAGAGCTCTGGGATTACTGGGCTACTCTAGGCAAACACATTTCAGGATTCAAGAAAATGCTGTGCATTATCATTTTACGTAACAAATAAGTCATGTATGCATGCATGCATAAAATACTGACATAGACAAACATGATGACGGTGTAATACGTCATTACATTCAGTCCTTATATAAAACACATACACATCTGGGTTATGATACATTTACATCTGCAGTAAAAAAAAAAAAGACAGCTGCATTGAACAGCATTTAAGGTAACCAACCGTGTTTAGTGTTTTTAGCAAAATGAATTTTAAATAATATATAGCATATTAATTTATGAAGATTTTCAATGCATTACATCTTGATATTTGTTAATAAATCATAAATGAATGCAGATGTTTTTTGGACATGCGTGTAACATGCAGACTAAAGAAAATATAAATCAAATGCAGGTCAGCCATTTGCAGTCACAGAAACTTGTTTTGTCTGGTTCTGTTTAAGAAGCTGGCTTTGATCTCTCAAACTCTATTTCTCTCTCACTCTTGCTCTCACATTCATGTGTTCATTCTCTGACTTGCTTCCTCCCTCTGTATCGTTTAATCATTCAGCAGCTGTTGACTGACAGTGAGAAGGGTTTGTTCTTGCTCTGAATTGAAGAACAGGAGGAAAGAAGAGTTGGCTGACAGAAGCACCACGAAGCAGAACAAAACTGGGGAGGACTGCCCTTCCTCCACTCCTTCCTGTGGACAGAGGAGCTGAGAGCTGAACAGGTGAGGAAATATCTGTGTTAGAAACTTCAGCTCTGAATTGCAATATAAGAATTAGGTTTCTACATACACAAATTTATAGTATAAATATATAGGCACAGGTTTACTATAGTACTATCTTACTACATATTTTACGCATATTAATTCTGTTAGTGACCCTTTACAAAAAGGTTTCATTTGTTAACATTATTAACTACGTTAGTTAACATGAACTAAAAATGAACAATTCTACAGTATGTTAACATCTTAGTTAACAAAGTTAACTTAATTTTGTCATTTACTAATACATTTTGTTAAGTTGCATTTGTTAACATTAGTTAATGCGCTGTGAACAAACTTATTTATACTGACAGATCGTTAAATGTTGTAAAATCATATATTGCTCACTGTTTGTTTATATTAGTTAACACATTAACTAACGTTAACTAATATGACCTTATTGTAAAGTGTTACCATTCTACTAATAAGTTTTTATATTAAAATATTAATATCAAATATTAAAATAGTATTTTGAATGTATTATTTTTTTATTTTATGTAATTGTTCTCTGTTTTATTCAAGAAATGTCTCGAGAAGAAGGATATGTTGGATTATAAATCATATTCATAATAAATAAATAAAAAACAACTGAAAAGGCATTTTTTTAGACAATTTGTTGTTATATTCAGTAGTTGCAGAGTTTAGGTTAAGTAATGTTAATTGTGTCACAATACACATTACAGTATGTTAAATATTTGAACATTTTTAGAGACACACAGAAGACACACAGAAGAAGCTGTCAGATATGAGTCTGGGGCCGGCGTGCATTTTCCTGAAAGGAGCTAAAAACATTGTAAGTCTATTGACTTTTTATCTTTTCTTTTATTAATTTTTTTATTTTTGTCCTGTACTCTGGTACTGGAGTGATACAGATTACTCTGCTACATTATAAAATCCCACAATTCCAAGCTGAACTCATACAAAAGCGATCAGTTAATACCCATCTATCTGAACTGGTCTGTCTAGCAGAAGAATGTCTCTTTATGCCAGTGGATATTAGAGATTAATGAGTGCCTGCAGGAAATATAATGATATTTATCTGAGAGAAGGATTTTAAAAGATGCTTTTTAAACGTTATATAAAGGTCATGCAGTTCTGCTGAACACAAAAGTGCAGGTAAATGTGCAAAACTGATGCACATATACAAAGAAACTCTAACTGTAGCTGTTTTACAGGAGCGTCCGCTGGCTGATGAGGAGATAGATGGTAAGCCATTTGTTTTACTGTGTTTACCCTGAAATAAAATACAAATGAAACTGTATTTAAAACTAACCATTAAAAACAGATATAATATTTACTTTTAACAGAGTAACTGTTTTAAATGATTGTAAATGAACTAATCACTTATTTGGTAAATGTTCACTGGTTCATTTATATAACCAGATTAACCTTACAGAATAAAATGCAAAGCAGATGTGAAATGCCAGATGCCAATGCAATTCAGTGAAGTCAACGATCAGAATCTGAGAGTACCACTGAAACGTTTTACATTTATTATAACATTTGTTGATACATTAAATTATATGATCATCAGTTAAAGTGAAAAGCTGAATTGAAAAATTAACAACTCGAGCTTCATGAACTCCACAAGTTTGATTTGAGAATGATGTTAGAATGATTCAGATCTTGTAGGCTACCTCTGTATAAATAGTCACATGATCAAAGTCACAGATTGACTTGATCGATTAACAGTGTTGGGGAAAGTTACTTTTAAAAGTAATGCATTACAATATAGCGTTCCTCCGTAAAAAAGTAACGAATTACGTTACTTAGTTACTTTTTATGGAAAGTAATGCGTTACATTACTTTGTCGTTACTTTCACGTTACTTTTTAAATATGAGCAGGGCTTGATTGTTTTTAATATAAGAAGTTCTATTTATAGCAAATGTAAAAGCCCTTTCACACCAAAAAGTGTAATGAATAAACCTCAGGCTGAAAGGAAAAGTAAATTCACGTCTGTACAGTAGA